TTTTTTAAGAGAGATTTACCACCCCCACAAAAAACCCCCCACCGGCATATGGGGGGGGGGGAATTCTGGGAGTTGAAGTCCACTCATCTTAAAGTGGCCAAGTTTGGACAACACTGAATTAAACCATCCATGAGAGGCAGCTGTCCAGCCTCTCCTTAAAATCTCCACAGATGGAAAACCCACAGCCTCTATAGGCAGACGGCTCCACTGAGGTACAGATCTTACTGAAAGAACGTTTTTCCTTACACTTAAATAAAATGTCTGCATAATGCTGTGGCTTCTGTAAGACATCAAATATACTTCTAGAACCAATTTTGAATGGTCCACAGCCTCGACAGCCTCAACAAGTCATTTACAAATTATTTGACACAAATGTAAATACAAAGGTTGAAGGAAAAATAACCCTCACACCTCCATAACTTTAGTTTAAATAGGGATATTTTAATAAATGAAACAGGACAATAATCATTGCACTAAGCTCTTTTGTTACATGTTATTTTGTTCTCCACATACAGGTAGTCCTCACTTAACGACCCTAATTTCCATCACTAAGTGAAGTGGTCATTAGGCAAAACATCATGTGACCACACCACTTAGCAACAGCAGTTCCAGTAGTACTGGCTGCGGTTGTCAGGCAAGGCCCTCACACTTCTCCTGCCCTGCCACAGTTGCCTCCGCTTCAACACCTCCCACCCACCTATCTCCCCCATCTCTGCACTAGGCAGGTGGGGAGAGTTGAAGCGCGCATTGTGCGGTCATAACTGCAAATGGGCTGCCAAGCTCCCAAATTTTGATCACATGACTTTGAGGACCAGCCATAACTACCATTTGTTCAGCACCATTGTAACTCTGAATGGCTGAACAAATGGTTGTTAAGCGAGGACTACCTGTAATCACCACCATCATTTCTTACATACTTCTGCCAACAATGGACAACATTTTGTCTTCAGCCAGGTCCTGGCGGTCCTTTCCATCTCTTCTACTCAAGATTTTGTGATACTGCGATATTCAAAACTTTGAAGCAACAATTGAGCAGAGTTCAGAAGCACAAGATGGACGTTTTGTTGCAACGTGACAACACTAGGCTTCACCCCTCACAAGGCACCCAAGAGCCACTTGCAAGCTTGGATCTCCTCATCTTAACCCATCTGCTTGACACCATGTGACTTCCAACTTTTGCCAAAATTGAAGGAATAATTTTGTGGGAATTTGACTTAAACAAAGAGTTGGGAAAGGACTGTCAGGACCTGGCTGAAGAGGCAAAGTTCTTTTGTGTCCACTTTAAGAAGCTTGTCAACCCTCTATTTTATTGCATTTTCAGAATAAATATACTGCATTTAGAAAATGCTGATTGCTCAAATTCAGTCACATTGATGATTTAAAAAAAAAAATTGGCTACAATCCTAGCATACCAATATGCTCCTTGCATTAAGATGGCAACTCTCTCAACTGAGGAGTCCTTGGGGTTCTGGTTGTTTTCTTGCAAACATTTCATTACCCAGCTAGATAACATCTTCAGTGCAGCACTTCAGTGAAGATGTTATCTAGCTGGGTGATGAAATGTTTGCAAGAAAACAACCAAGCTCAGAGAACCCCAAGGACTCCACAGTTCAACCCTGAGCTACACATATTCGCTTCTATTGGTCTCTCAACTGAATATAGTCCTGTGCATGTTTCCTCAAAGCATATTTTCTATCTACAACTTCAATTATTCTCAAGTATTCCTAAGCAGGTAAAAAACTGCAATCTTCATTCATGAAGTCCTCAATTCCAAATAGAGATAAGCATGTAAAAAATTGCAGCCTTCTTTCATTCATTCAATTCCAAATAGATAATGCATGTAGAGTTTGCCTTACGAGGAAGGCATTGCTCTTGCAAAGGCCTAGCACATAAGGCACATTTAATCCAAGTCAACATTACAAATGCATCAGAAATATGTGATGCAATAAAGAACCAACGTTCATAACAAGGGGCCCATCATAATTCAAATAGGGCTTCCTTCAGCCTCTTCCAAGAATATCACCTGAAAGCAAGTCACAGCTGGAGTTTTAGCCTACCCACCAATTAATTTCTTTTTTGTTGTCCAGTAATCCTATTTTTGCTTTTTAACTGGAATACTAATAGTCATAAAATCCTCTGCTAATACAACATCTTGTCCATTCAAAACTAGCTCGGCTTGCTTCTTCAGCTCCGTGACGTCGGCGTCTCCTTCACCTATCTGATTCGCTGGCTTATACCTTTGACTGAAATGAGAGAGGACCAACTTCCTTGCTTTGCACAGTTTGGCAAACTCTGCTGCCGTTTTTGGAGTGCTATGACCACGCTCCTTGGCCTTGTCCATCTGGCTGTCATCCAGCGTAGCTTCATGAACCAAGATATCGGCTTCAGAGCAAAGAGTCGAAATTCCATCTCCAACAACACCAGAGCAATCTCCTAAAATACAAATTTTTCTTCCAGGAAAAGGGCTTTCTAAGACATCCACAGGAGAAATGATTGTCCCATTTTCCAGAGTAATTGGAACACCTTCTTTCAATTTTCCATATAATGGGCCTGGTTGAATCCCTAGAAATTCAAGAATAGGAATAAAATTAACTTTCAAGCAGTTTATTTTTCAATTTTTTTTTTAAACATCTGGTTTCAAGAACTCTAGCACAATAACTCCATGCCCCTAAATTTCACCAAAACCTTCCCTTTTTAAAGCAATCAAGTTTCTAGATCTTATGAATGCTTGTGTTTGAAACTGTGCAAACAAAATCTAAACCATTTTTTCTCTCATGCTTTCACTTTTGACGCCTCACCCACAACCTTCCCTCTTCCCTCTAGTATCCTTTCTGAAAATTTTAATATTTTCTTTGGGGGGAAAAGAAAATATTAACAAGTTCAAGTATGAATTGCACATGAAAACATCTTTTTTTCGATTCCCCAAGAAGTAAGACTAGTAAAATCACATTATTAAGAATTCTAAACAGATGAAATAACTTGACAACTAGACCAACTATTCACTGAGCAAATAGATTATCTCTTAAAGTAGGTTTTAAGCAGATAATAGAAAGTAACAATTTCCTACATTGGCAGAGCCCAGACAAAATGACCCTAATGATCCTGTACTGTAATACATAGCTTTATTTTCTCATCAAAATAATATGATTTGCGTTCAAGGAACATGGAAAAATAAATTGTTTTCTGCTTAAGACAGCAATTGGGACTGGCATTTCCGTCGCTAAGTGATGTGGTTGTAAAGCGCAAATGCATCACTTAGCGATGGCGATCCCTGCAGTCCTGGCTACTGTCATTAACCAAATCCCACAGTCGTTAGGCGAGGCAACTTTCTGCTAGCTTCCCAAAACCAAAGTCACTAGGGAAGCTAGCAGGAAGTTGCAAGTCCCAGGCAGGCAGGCAAGTGGCCGCTGCCGGGTGGGGGAGGGCGCATGAGGGTGCGAGGAAGGTGGGGGAGGGTGCATCAGAGGCGTGGCATGAGTCAGGAGGGGTGCACAAGGGTCTGTGAGAGGTACAGCGTGAGTCAGGGAGGATGCATGAGGATGCAAAGGGATGTGCGGGAGGCATGTTGTGGGTCGGGAGGGTGCACAAGAGGTGCAGTGTAGGTCAGGAAGTCTGCCCAAGGGTGCAAGGGGGTGTGCGAGAGGCCTGGCATGGGTTGGGAAGGGTGTGTGAGGGTGTGCAGCAGTCTGCGAGTAGCCAGCGCGGCACAACTGCAGAGGAGCTGGGGGGGCACACGGGTGGGGGAAACTTACCCCAGCACTTGCAACCTTCCCTGCCAGCTTCCCCATTGACTTTCTGGAGAAGCTGACACAGAAGGTTGTAAATGGCGATCGTAATCGCGGGGCACTGCAACTGATTGTAAGCACAAACTGGGTGCCAAGTGCCCAGATCATGATTACATGATTGTGGGGGTGCTGGGACAGCTGGAACTCTGAGGACCATTTATTCAGTGCCGTCGCAATTTCGGTCACTGAACGAATGGTCATAGGTCGAAGATTACCTATATGTAAAACAAGCTGGGAAAGATTGAAGGCAAAAGGAGAAGAGGACGGCAGAGGATGAGATGGTTAGATAGCATCACT